AACTCTTCATTTTCTATCTTCCTATTTGCTAATTTACTTTCTAAATCAATTATGATATCTGCAATTTCCATATTTTACCTTACAAGATCATCAGACTTTCTTTGATTTCCTTCCAATTTTTCCTTTTATTATTCTTCAGATAATGAACCAAATTGTTTCAATTCTTCAATCTATTCTAATAGCATTTATATGTGATCATCTTTTGTTTTTATTGTCTTTTACAATTATTCTATTGTGACTCCTTAATCTTCTGGATTCTATTCATTATTCTGATTAGGAACTGAAGCTTGTAATTAAAAGTTAATATTATCTTATTAATTAGATCCCATATTTCCAGTTTAGAAATTAAGAGGTATACTTTGAACACCTTAATTAGCAAGTTCATTTTTGAGATCGTCAATTTCATTTTCTTTTTCTCTAATCAAATATTCATAATTTTTAATTATATCCAAAGGAATAGTAATAAACTTACCATCTTAAGTTTTATTTTTAGCAAATTATGATTATTTAAGATTTTCAGGTGAACTTGTAACTTCTTATTATGAAATGTCTTATTAATTTAAACTTCCTAAATCAAATGAAAATTCTTCATTATCCACCATATGTTAAAATGGTTCTCTAAATTTTTCAATAGGATTTGTCCTTTATTATTCAGCTGATTTACTATAACTAGGTTTTGCAGATTCTTTAGTCTACAATTATTCCTTTTTGAAGTTGTTTAATTAATCTTCTAGTTATTAAATTTGTTTTTCTAATTCTGAATTGTTCTATTAAGTATCTTGTAATTTATTTTTGATATTAGATAGTTCTTCTTTTAATGGTTGATTATCTTATTATTATTTTCTTAATTCTTCATTTAATTATTAAACTAATTATTCTAAAATTTTATTATTTTCTTCAGTTTAATTAAATTTATCTTAAAGTTTTTAGAAATCATCATTATTTATTTTAGTAAGATTTTTATTTTTTTGATCGTTCAATTAAGTTAATTTTTCTTCCTATTGTTTAATCTCTGATTAAGTTTGATTATTTTAATCTTGTAATACTTTATTCTCTTGAAGTAGTTATTATTATTTATCTTTATTTTAATTAATATCTTCTTGCAATAATTAAATTTCATTTTTCAAGTTTTTATTATCAGTTTCTAATAGAGTATGCTATTTCTATAAATCTTTTAAGTTTTATTATAAAGCTGGAATATTTAATTTTTTAATCTCATTCTCTATTTCTTCTTTTTAAGCTTGTTTATCTACTAATTTCTATTATAATTCTAAAATTAAATCTTCTAATTATTAATTTTCTATAACTAAATCATCAACATTATTTGTATTTAATTTCTCAACTTAATTATCTTATTTATTTAAATTATTTTATGATTATAATTATTATTAATTTTCATTAATAGTATTATTTTATTTTTATAGTTGATCTAACTCATTTTGTTTTTAGAGCAATGATTTTTAAAGTTCTTTTATTTTATCATTGACATCTAAATTTTATTTAATTAATTCATCAACATTCTTTGGTAATTGATCTTTTGATTATAATAATTATTTCTCCAATTCCACATTTTAAGTTCCCACTTCTAATAGTTTAGCTTATAATTCTTTTTTCCTATTATCTTATGACATTAATTTTCTCTCCAAATCATTTATCATATCATCCATTGTAGCTGTTTATTTTGCTAAATCTAAGGCTTAATCTGATCTAATAGGAGATATATCTCTTTTTTTTATTTCAGAAATAGAGTCATTTGCCTTTTGCTGTTAGAGTTATAGGCGAGATTTCAAATTTTAAATTTCGATATCTTTCTCCTCTATTAGAAATTGCATTCTTCTATATTCTTGTATGATCCTTTCAATCACATCTTATAATGCTTCTGGATATTATTATAATTCATTCAGTACACTTAATGTTTCATTTCCTTGTTGTGCTACTCCTACTTTATTTCGTTTAGATTATATATTTGATTAAAGTTATCCTATCAATTAATCTAAAGTGCTTTCCTAAGTTTTTAATTAACCTATGACAGCATCCTTATTTAAAATTTGATTTTGAAGATCTCCTATAATATTTTGTAGTTATAAGTTTTATTGAATTAATTGTTGTTATGCAGCTAGTATTTCTGGTGATGCTGCTTATACTGGCTTAGATGTAAATTAAGCAATCATTGCATCTTTCTCTTGAATTTCACTCCTTAAAAACTCAATTTATGTCTTAAGTTAAACATTGATGTTCTACAAATGTAAAACTTATTCATTTTGAAAATCTAAACTTTCCAATTGCTTTAATCTTCTTCGAAGTTCTTCTATCTCTCTAGCTTATTACCAAATTATATGTTCTTAATTCATCAAGAGTTCTTCAATCTCTAGTTTATTTCTTAACTATTATTACCTTGAATAGTGGCTGTGGCCCCTTTCAAATGTCCTTAAAGTTTAGATACGCACTGCTCACGATTAATATTACTCATTTTTTAATTATATTTCTATATATAACAATTTATCAAACACTTATATACAATATTAATCATTTAATCATACCCTTATTATAGACAAAATCTTGAATAGACTTTGAATTATTAATCATCTAAATTTAATCCAATTTTATTAAAATAAATGAATCACATAAATTTCATTTAGAATCAAATTGGCGAAATTAAAAATATTATGTTATCATCAAATTTACATAGTAATTCTTTATTGATAACAATATTTATAAATCATTAATATCATCTCGATTATTAAAATCTTGAAATTTAAAAGAATAAATATTATTATATCAAAATAGTTTATAATTATTCTAATTAGGATTAGAATCATTAAAAAAATATTATATAGTTATAATTTCAATGAGATTTTGAAGCGAGAAATTCTATAATGTATAATTTCTCTATATAAAGTTTTGAAAAAGTTGAATATAGAGTTTAATGTCAAAAATAATTAAAAATCTATTTTTTAGTTAAGAAAAATTAATGAATTATGCTTTAAAATTTAAACTTAAAAGTGATCTTGAAATTTTTAACTAAGATTAATAGAATTAATTTCATAATTTAGAGAAAAAGATTTTATATCTTTAGATGTATTCTTATAATTTTAATTGCTTACAAATTTTATATTTTAGTATCATAATTATTATTTTGTATAATTCTTACTTAATCATATGAGTTCATACATTTTTATTATAAATATATATAAAAATATCATTTATATTAAATAAAATCAGCCTTCCTCCATTGATTATATATAATATATTAATTTTGTTAACTGTCATGAACTAACTTCAAATTGAAGAACTTTAAAGAAAATTGTAGCAATTATAACTTGAACGAATGAATGAAGATTCATCAGATGAAGAGCCAACATTTTAGTCTGTTTAAGGAAAACAAAATGATAAATAATTATTTTAAAATCTCTCGATTAATAGTTTTGAAGTTTACACAACATTAGGTACTGGCACTTTTGGACGTGTAAAATAAGTTCGAATAAAACGTGATGCAAGTCGTTAAGTTTATGCTTTAAAAATAATGAAGAAACATGATATCATTAAATTAAAATAAGTTGATCACATCAAATCAGAAAAGAATATTTTAAATGAAATTTAACATCCTTTTTTAGTATAATTGAAGGGTTCATTTTAAGATTAAAAATGCATATATATGCTATTTGAATTTGTTTCAGGTGGTGAATTATTTTCTAGATTAAGAAAGGATGGCAGATTTAGTTAAGATATTACATTATTTTATGTTTCTGAAATATTATTAGCAATTTAACATTTACATAGAAAAGATATAGTCTATAGAGATTTAAAACCAGAAAATTTATTAATAGATTGTGAAGGACATATTAAGATAGCTGATTTTGGATTTGCTAAAAAAATTAAAAATAATCATACTTAAACTTTGTGTGGTACACCAGAATATTTGGCACCTGAATTAATTTAAGGAGCAAAAACTGGATACGGAAAATCTATAGATTGGTGGGCATTGGGAGTTTTAATATTTGAAATGTTAGCAGGGTATATTATAATTTTATTATTTAAGTCATCCTCCATTTTATGATATTGAACCAACAAATATATATAAGAAAATATTAAATGGAGTAATAGAGTTCCCTAAATTTTTGCATGTAAGAGCAAAGGATGTAATAAGAAAATTATTAAATTCTGATATTAATAAAAGATTAGGAGTGGAAGATGTAATGTCACTATTTAAAATAGGAAGGGGCAGCATTAATGAATCATAAATTCTTTAGAGGAGTTCCTTGGTAAAAGGTTTTTGAAAAAAAGATTCAACCACCATGGATTCCATATATGAGAAATGAAACTGATTCATAATGGTTTGATAAATATCCAGAAGAAAGAGATGATATACCATCTGTTGATGATGAAAAATAGCATATGTTTGATGACTTTTGATTAGTTAAATAAATTGAATTAAATAGAAACTAACGATTAATATTTAATGAATTAGTAATATATCAAATATTAAATCTTAAATTTAAATTGTTTATAAAATAATTTAGTGATTCAATATAGCATATTATTATTATTGGATTTTTATTTCTATTTCATAGCATAAATGAAATGAATCTTTGTAATCTAATTTTAATTATATTATTAAATTATAATTTAAAAATACATATATACATATTTATAAAAACCTTTATATATTAGATGTTCTTTCAATAATAGAACCATAAGTAGAATAATTGAGAATATAAAATTATTGTCTAACACTTTAAAGTATTTTTTTATTTTATTAAAATGTAAAGATATCATCTATAATTTTATATCTATGTATAAATTATAAAGATTAAACTATAGAATTATGAGTTATATATGTTAGATTGATTGCAGTGACTCTTGTATACAAAAATTAATAAGATTGTAAAAATTATTCTTTAAAATAATGAATTTAAGTTATAAAAATATAAGATTCCTATATTACTACAATGTTAAACTTCATTTTTTTCCCGCTAATTTCAGAAATAAAATTAAAAAAAATGCAAACAGAAGTTCCTCCCTGTTCAGAAGGTAAATTCTTGAATTAAATATAGATCAAAATTAAAAGGACTCTTCTATGAAGATAGATAATTAAATAAATGATGAAGCCAATTAGAACTAAAATGAAGCAATGGATATTGAGGATAATCATCAAAAATAATAAAATAAGAGTAAGAATTACAAATATCTATTACTAGGAAAAAGAAAACAAAATAACATTCAAACATAACCAACAATAATTCTTACTGAAAAGAGATAAAGAAAACCACCTTAATAAGCATGTGTATAACGTGATCCATCTCCTTAAATAATAGCGGAAAAAAAAAAACTTAAAAAATACAAAATAAGTTAAGAAATTGAAGAAATTTGTACAAAGATAGCAAAATGGGAATAGTTTTAGATAGGATTAAATCAATTAGGATATCCTAGTATAGTTTTAGATGAATAAAAGATTTTTGATTTATTAAAGGATTATGATTAAAAGGATGAAGCTGGTAAGGAATATGATTTAAAAATGCTATTGAGACTTATTGGAGAAGCAATGTGTTGTAAAGATAGAAATGAGATTAATCTACAGATAAAAAATAAAATGGAATAATTAATATAATAAAAGAATATTATAATAAATTGGACATTAGAGAAATGGGATGAATAAATTAAGTCTTTCTTAGAAATTAAAGCTTAATTAAATGAATAAATTCAACCTGCCTCACAATTTGATTGTTAAGCCTTGTAAACTCTTATTGGGAATAATCTACCTAATTATATTGAAGAATCAAAATTTAATGTCACATTAATTGTATTTAAATCAAAATAAATTGATGATTTAAAAAAAGGATGCGATTTGAATGAATTGAAAAATGTAAGATTAATTAGAGAGTATTTAATTACTTTAAATAACAAAGTAGATTAACTAAAGAAACTTAAAGACAAAATAAATATCCTTAAAAAAAAAGAAGATGAAAATGATATTATACAATAATACAATTCTCAAGATTTAAAACTTTTAGAATTCAAAAATACTCCTATTAAATTTTTGTAGAAAACAGAAATTAAGGTACCATAATCAAAATAAAAATAAAAACCATAAAATCTTGAAAAAATTGAAAATAACTAAAGTAATGAAAATGAATAAATAAATTCATAAATTAATTTTTAAGCTGAATCAAATGAAGCAACAGAAAAAAAAGTGAGTGAAAATAAATAAAAAAAAAAGAAGGAAAAAGAATAATAAAAATAAGAGAAAGTTCTTAAAGGAACACTTGATAAATATAAATTTAAAAAACCAGAAATTCAAGAAATTACAAATTAATCTACAAATATATAAAATTAATTTGAAACACTCTCTACTTCAAAAGATAACAATTAATAAGGATTAGAAAGAGATTCTTAATAATAAGATTCAAATGAGCCATAATAAATTCGTTAAATTTCTCAATAATAATAATAATAATTTTAGTAAATTTAAACAATAGGAAAAAATCTCAAACATTTTTTTCCTGAAAAGAAATAATAATTAATCCCAAAATAAGATGAATATTAACCAAAATAATTAACACCTTACAAAATGGAATAATTTGAAGCTTTGATTGAAAAAATGGCTAATATGTAGTTGTAAGAAGAAAAAATATAAGTATCATTAAATGATTATAATACTGATGAAATTGAAATACAAGAAACCAAACCTGTATAGTAGGTTAAAATCAGAAAAATACATATTTTTATTGCAGATTCAGAAAAAGAATTTAATGGACATTAATTTGTATAATTAAGTCAAGTTATTAGATCAAGAGCTCCTTTTTAATTAGGTATATTTAAATAATGAGTATTTAGATGATTAAATTGATTATGACAAAGACTCTTTAGATGAAGTTGAAGAAATGTTAGCAGAAAATCTCTCAGATATAAATGACTCTGATGAAGATTAAAGTGAGGAGAGTGAATAGAAAGATAGTTTTCTAGTAGATGATAATCATCTATCATAAGATGAGGTTGAAGATCCTGAAGAATTGCTAAATAATAAATGCATTGCAAATAACACTTAAGTTCAAAATGGAATAGTATATATTAAATTTTCTTCTGTTGACCCATTATTCTTTGAAAATTACAAAGCTTAATACATTCCTTAATTTTTTATTGTTTAATAATAAAAAGATTAGAGTCATGGAAATATAATTTAAAATCTTGGAACTTAATAAGGAAATAACACCAAAACAATATAAATTCCTAAAGCTAAAATGACTTTTAGTAATAATACTTAAAAAAAATAAAACAAACCTAAAAAATCAAAAGCAAACCCTATTAATGAGTAATAAAATTAAAGTTATTTAAAATCTTAATCAAGTAATAAATCTTAAGTTGAATAAACAACTTAAAAATAATAAAAGTGTGTTTCAAAAGTTGATAATAAAATTGACGAAGAGAAAATAAATACAAAAATTGAACAGGATATTAAATGTGAAGAAATACAAAATGAGTTAGAAAATTAATCCAATCAAAAATTGTAATAAAACTATAATAATAATGAAAACTTATAATGATTAATCTATGAACATTTATATTGTATAAACAATTTCAATTATGTGAAATGTAACTTAAATAAATATTCCAAAAAAATCCTATGAAATTAACCCATAAGACTTGATAATGTCTTGGGATCAACCAAAAATTTATAATCTATGCAGCTGGCCAAATTTACCAATTTGTTATCATGGCTTTTACAAAATTATTTTTGATTGCATCTATTCCTTTCTACACTGATCTACTCTCTAATAAATTAATTATCATCAAATAATGACACAATATGTAACATGCCCAAACTGATTAATCAATAAGAACAGATCCTACTGCAGCTCTAAATGGTGTTGAAGTATCAAAAGGTAATCTACAATTTATAAGATCCATATGTACTACCTTTTCACTAACCATGGTAATGCATATGTGAAATTATAATGAAACAATGGCATCATAAATACATTTCCCATAAGCCAAGCTATTCCTAACCTTCTAAAATCATATTAATGACTTTATTAATTCTTTTTTGCAATTTGTGATTCCATTGTCTAGACTACAGCATCTCCTGCAAAAAACATAAAACCTATATTTTTTGATTAATATGTTATACCTCCAGTCACTGATTTTGTCAATAGAGGATATTATTATAGAAGGGTATTATATTTTGTAAGAAATTACATGATTAAATAAAATAATTAACTGCTAAAATGAATTATATCAGAATGTTCTTTTGACCATAATATTATAGAAATCCTCTCTTGAAATATCTCTTCCATTTGAGGCTGCTCTCTCTAACATTTCTGCTAGTTCTTCAGCTGTCATTGTTTCTCCTAATTCTTTTGATACCTAATTTTGTATTAATTTAAAATGATACTCTTTTTAAGTTATTCAAATTAATTGAATTGCTTCCATCGTCATCAAATAAATCAAATATTTTATTGATACCATCTCTAGTTTCTCTATTTCCTAATTTTGAAGTTATAGCATCCAAAAATTAATCAAAATCAATATCAGTTCCTTCATTTTCTAATTCAGCAATCATATTGAAAATAGTTGGATTTTTTTAATCAAATCCCAAACTCTACATGGCAGCTTTTAATTCTCTTGGGTCAACTCTTCCTGTACCTTCAGTATCAAATAAATTGAAGGCTTCTTTTATTTCTTCAATTTCATCTTCTGTCAATCCTGGTCTATAAATAGCTAATTAAATGTACCTGTCTTAAGGCTTTCTATTGACTTACTATTATTTGCCAACAGGTTTCTATGCTACGGGTGCTTATTGTTTTTTGTTCATTTAATTTTGAAATTTGAAAAATAATTAATATATAAACAATTGCAAAAATATCATTTATATAATAGGCAAGTCTCTATATCCATTAATTCATTTTGCAAAATATATTTGAATAATATTATAATAAAGAAAAATGTTATTTTTTTGAATATACAATTTATAAAAACGATCAATAGAAACAATAGAAGAATTAATTATATTATCTAATAATATGGAGTTAGTTAATATCAATATATAATTGTAAATCATAGAATTAATAACTATTTCATTTATAAATGAATTCAAAATATAAAAGAAAATATTTTTAATTTGTCATTTGATAAATAATATTTTATTCTTAATAACAATGAATGAAAACACATTCTATACTATTAAAATTAAGAAATTGAATTTATGGAAAGTAAATAAATAGTTAAAATATTATAAATAAAAGTATGAAATATAGAATTATTTATTCCTTTAGGAATGAATTATCTACAAAATAGATTATATTAATCGTTTTTTATAATTTTATATATTCATGCTGCATTTCTTTATTTTAGTATTCTTAGGAAGTGCACGATAATATTCAATCGAACTCAAAAGCCAATAGACTTAATAACATTTAATAGAGTTAGTTAATTTATTGCAACATTCACATGCATAATTACTAGAATTGTAGCATTATGAGAGAATTGGATAAGATTTATAAGGATTGTTGAAATTTGAAACTGTGTTTTTGGAAAAGTAAATTAATAAGAAGAATTTGAAACATTAAAAACATCATAATAAAAAGGAAGGTAAACATAAAAAAAGATAACACTAATATATGATTGTGAACGAGGCATTAATGGATGTTATTCCATTAACTCATGAAGAGAAAGATGTTTTTTAAAATTCAGGTTCTTTAGTTCCTATTGATTTTGGAATTGAATAATAAATGGAGCATTAAAGTCAGAAATTATTATCCACTGAAAGAATATCAAATGGTGCTTATATAGCAGATGTACCATTAACTAATATTGCTAATACTATGTTTATAGGTAAATTACAGATAGGAAGTGCAAAAGGTAAGAATACGTTTGATGTAATTTTTGATACTGGATCAGCTCTTACTTGCATTGCTTCAGAATAATGTAAAGATATCGGATGCTAGAAAAGTAAAAGATATAATAGAGCAGAAAGTAAATCATTTAATGAAATTGGAAAATAAGTAGAAATTGTTTTTGGAAGTGGAACTTTAAAAGGTTTAATTAATAGAGAGTAAATTAATGTAGATGGATTAAATTTAAAAGATGCATTGTTTATTGAGGTTACTTAATAAATTGGTGATGCATTTCATGAAGGAGAATTTGATGGTATAGTTGGATTAGGATATCCTCATATGACAGGAGTACCTACTTTATTTGATTATATGATGAAATAACATAAATTACATTAGAACATTTTTACATTTCATTTAAATAGAGCAACAGGTAATTCAGGATCATAACTCATTTTTGGAGGAAGTGATGATTCTTAAATTAAAGGATAATGGGTTTATCATAATGTTCATGAATAATTTTATTGGTCTATTATGGCAGAAGAAATTAGAGTTGGTAATAAAAACACTGGTATTTGTTCACAATAGCATAAATGTAAAATGGTAATAGATACAGGAACTACTCTATTAACAGGTCCAACAAAAGAAGTCAGAACATTATTATCAATGATTAGAGTGGAACCAAAATGTTAGAATTTCCCAACTATGCCAGATATAACTTTTGTTATTGATGGAAATAATTATGTTTTGTAACCTAAAGATTATATATTAACAATTACATGTAAAAATTCTATTTAATTAAATAGAGGCTGGAGTTGAACCTCCATATTAACATTCTTCTATGGATTAGATTGTTGGATGTGCAGGTACAATATTCCCATTAGATTTACCACCCAAATAGTAATAGATTATTTATAATTTTATAGAGGTCCTTTATGGATTTTAGGTGATGTATTTATTACAAAATACTCTGCTAAATTTGATAGAGAAAAGAACAGAGTTGGATTAGCATTAAATAAAAATGTATTAAAATGATATTCAAAATATATAATAATACAATATTACATTATTTAATATATATATTTGTTGAATTACTTTTAATATTCTTTTATTTTAGTATTTATTAAATTAACTAAAATTAAATGAAAAAATAAAATAAACTAAATTACTCATATAATTTATAAGTTTGAATTAGAAAGAATAGCTATGAATTCTCATAAAATTATTATATATATTTAATAACTTCTATATTAACTAAAATAGAAATCAAGTAGTTTAGATAAAGCTACAATAATTTAAAGATAGATGGTTATTGTAATTCTACAAATTTATACATAAATTTTCAAATATTTTTGCTTGAACATATAACGTAAATAATATATCACCAATAGAAATATTAACCATTATTATCAATATCATTATTATTTAATAATATGTTAAATTTCAAAACAAAGTTCTATTTAAAACGCTTAAATTTCACTAATAAAAAGTAATAATTTAGATACTGTTTATGATAATATAAATTACTTTAGTATGTGATTATCTCACATATTTTATAAGTATATTTCCACAGTTCAATTAATATAATAGTTAATTATTAATTATTTCAATATTAGTTTCAATTTTACTGTCTAAAATAGAGATAAACCTAATTAGATGATTTTCTATCAACAAGATTAAGAATTCAGTTTGAGTATATTAATTTGAGAGATAATTATATTAAAAATTAAAATAGAATTTAACTCAGAATAGCAATTCTTTAACATTATCAAAAGTGCAACTTTATAAATATATAATTCTTTAATCGTATTATATTATATAACATACATATAATGTGAACTCAATGTATAAATAGTAATTAAAAATCAAAACAATTATTTTAGGTACTCATACATCATATAGACTAAACCAGAATGCATCGTAACTTTTGCAATTCTTGGTTGATATCCCTTAAATAATCCTTTCAAACCTTCTTCATTATAGATGTTTTATAAAATCTCCATCGAAGCCATCTATCTATTTGATCCAAAATCACTTCTTGTACTAACTTGTTTTCTTGTCTTTACTACATCTAAAGGAAGTGTCATTGTAGCCGTAACACTACTAGCTAGCATAGCTGAAATGAGATTTACAGCATTAGGCTAATCTATTAAGACCTTTCCTATTTCTATTTTTAAATTTTCTAGAAGACTCCAATATATGCATGAAAATAAAATATCTCTTTAAATTGTTATTAGATAAGCTGAATGAAGTTAAGTCCCTAATTGAATATTCTTTAATTTTGAATATCCCACTGTGGATGACTATAATACCTTCCAATATTCCAATGGAAATGTTACTAAAAATATACTTAAAATATCTTACTTGTTGTTGTTAATGCTCTACTAAATGAACTAGCCAATAGAGGAACAACTAATCGGCTAGAAGGTAATTCCATTTATTATAAGAATTTCCTTGTTCTCTCATAAAACATGAAGTAGCATATATTTGATGCTCCTGCTTATAATACGGCATATCTCCATCCATTAAAGAAGGTTGATGCTCCTTCATGTGTATAGATGTGTTAGAAGGCTTAAACCAGAGAGTTTGTAGTAATGCAAGTACAATTCTAATAAATTTTAATTAAGGGGTTTGTGGCTTAAGATTTTCCGATAACATTAATCATTCGATGTGGTTTCCATAATTTCAATGATTTCGAGAGCATACCATAATGATTTAATTAATGTCTTGTTGGTTGTCCTGTTAATGCTATTTCATGAATATATTTAAATTTTGGCTTGCTTCGATGAGGATTTCTGTGATGTTAATGCTCATGACAATGCATTTTATCTACTTGCAATCTTATTTTTAACACTTCAAAAGGATTACTAATGATTGTACTAATCACACTAGCTAATCCTGAAGAAAATATAATTGTAGTGGAACTTAAATGATCCCCCTATTTCATTAAAATAAATAATATTGATTATTATGTCATATTATTAATCATATTTAAATTAGATTCATTATAAAATTTTTAAGATACTTTCATTTAATTATATTAATTATTTGATGATTTTGAATACACTGTTAAAAAACTATATATTTATTGTTAAAATTGCTTCATTAAAAAATAGCTTTTAGTTAAGGATTAAAAATATGTTAAATCAAAATTAATAGTATTTTATATCAATAATTTCTCTTTTGAAATTTATTATCAAAAATATATATATACCTAATCGCTTCAAGGTTAATATATACTCTTATTATTAAATAAAGATTTATAATTATCAATATGGTATTATATATTGTTTAGTAATGAATGACTTTGCTATTTATGCACTAATGAACAAGAAAATTTGATAAAATCTTATTAATTTTATATAGGT